GGTGCACGGATGATACGAGCTCGTAAAGCATTCGAGCGCACGGGTTTACGCGCGACGCAATAAGAGAGCGAAAAGTTGTTACCGGTGGATATAACAGACCGCGGACGATGAGCTACTCGTTAACTTCCTCGATTAACCGGCGAGAAAAGGAAGAAAACGTAGCGACTTTCACCCGTTCCACAGACGAGCCGCCGCTACGCCGGGTAGTTGAACCGCCATTCCGCGAACGGGCCCGATCGATCATCGTTCGATATCACGGAATCGAATCGATTTCGTTCGATCGCATCGAATCCACGGGTCCTCGATCGCAGCGCCACCGCGGCCCGTCGACGCGAGAAGCGGTCGATACCGACACGCGAATCGGACATTGATTCGTCTAAGTATAGAGTGTATAACGGGGAACGCTCTGGCATTTCCATGAAAGTGAAAACACCGAGTGAAAACTTTCTTTCTGGCTCGCGGGTTGTTTCACTTCCTGTGCGCGTAACCTCACTCTCCCGCCGCCGCCGTTGCGTTTCTATGCAGCTAATGCAGCTTCTACGCGGCGCGCGTTGCCTTTACGTAATCTCCTCAGCCGCGAAAGAAAGTTTCTATCGTTCCGTGGAGGTTAACATCCTCTGGGCCGCCCCCCCCCCTACCTATTCAAATATCGCTCGCCACCGGAATGTAATTCGGAGCAACGTGCTCGCTCCTCGTTCCTGATCGAAATCGGCGCGGCAGGTGAAACTCATTCGTACGCAGCGACCACCGCTTATCCTCCATGATCTCGAACGCGAGTTAACGATCGCGCGCGCGATCCATTATCGATATACGTTATCGAACTCGCGATTTTCCCACGGCTACCAACCGCGCCGACGTTAACGATCCGTTTGTTTTCATTTGAATAAACAGAATACATCCTGTATTCTCTATTATCGTGCGCTTCCAGCGTTACTTGCTTTCTAATTATCAGCCACCCAGGAAATTCCGACTTTCTTATTAACATACATTACCGATTCAACGAAATTCTTTGCTCAGATTCGAACGTTCATTTTTCACGCTGATATATTTGTTATTTCTTCGTTTCATTCGGATTCGTGTTAGACGTGTACGAACGCTGAAAAATTAATCGATACTTTATTGAATACTTTCATTTTGTGACAGTTTTTAGGTTATGGGCGTGACAGTCGATGTGTCGATCGAACGAAAGGATTATTGGTATTTTCTATTGCATCCAGTTAATAGAATAAACTTCGTCGATTTATTATAATCAAACTGCGGATTTTATGCATTTATCGAAAAAAATGGGCAAGCGAAATACAGACAATCAAGATTTTCTCTTTTATGTATTAGGTCTACCGGAAAGTTCTGTCGGATAGTGTCACTTCAAGTTTCAATCCATATGCACATGTTGATTTGAGACCTATACGACTATCTCTTTTTATCATTGCATTTACACACATGTACTCTCCTAAATAAACTGAAACAAAGATGCCTCATGTCATCCAGACCTAGCACCCTCCGATTATCACTTGTTTCTCTCTTTGCAAATCTTTTTACAGGAAAAAGAAATTCAAAACCGAAGCTGATGTCAACATAGCATTAGTCGAGTCCTTCGCCTCTAAAAATAAGTCATTTTTTAAAAATGGCATTTACAAGTTGCCATCACGCTGGCAAAAAGTCATAAGTAACGATGGAAAGTATATTCTGTTGGGTTGGCAACTAAGTAATTGCCGATTTCAATTATAGACGTCTCTCACTCCCATTTTTATGATATCCGTAAATGTTATATTATAAAATTATTATTATTATTATGTTATTTTTTATTATCTGTGAATGTTAGCAACTGGACAAATTGAATGCGGCGGTCAAGGAAAAGCGACCAGAATTGGTCGATCGTGAAGGTGTCATTTTTCAGCAGGACAATGCTAGACCGCACACGTCTTTGTCCACTCGGCAAAAATTGATGGATATTGGTTGGGAATCGATGTTACACCCACCGTATAGCCCTGATCTCGCGCCATCGGATTACCACTTATTTCGATCCCTGGACAACTCCCTTCGTGGTAAAACTTTTAACGGCGATGACGCCGTTCATTCCAAGAAAAAAAAAAATTTTATTTCATTGAACCAATCGGCAATTACTTAGTTGCCAACCCAATACAATAAATATTATTAAACGTATGAAAATTGCGTTATATTTTAATTCAAAAACGGACAAAACTTTCCGGTAGACCTAATATTTTATAACTGTTCCCAATTCGTTGAAACTGTCGAAAGAAGAAACGCGTCTTTGTTTACTTCTTATTTGCTTCAATCGACGCAGAATATTTTCATTTTGCATTAAAGATCTGCGGTCGAATCGTAACACCAACGGGATTGAATGAAGGCGCGATTCGAATTGCGCGCCAAAAGGTCGCAGCCCGCGGCAGTGTTGACATGGCAGACGCCGACGGCAGCTCGTCCGACGAGAGCTTGGACATCACGAGTGACAAATTCGATCCTCTGAAAGCCCTGTACACACCGAAATTATTGCTGACGAACCTAACGGCCCCGTTGTACGACAATGTCTCCAAGTTCGAGTCGGTTATGTCCGGCATGTCCGGTAAATCGAAAGTGCGTATGTCAGCGTCGATCGCCGCCGCTGCTGCACCCTCCGTCGTTATCTGTCGAGACCCTCTGCTCCCGTTTATTTTCTTTCCTTGCAGAAGAAAAATGTGGCGGCTGACGTCGGGCAAGGGGAAAGTTCGAGGCAACGATTTTTACCCCATCAAGGTAAGACACGATTACTCTTATCGATCCCCGGTTATCGCCGTCCCGTTTCTCCGTTCGGAAAGTGAGGTTATGCGGCCAGCGAACGGCGCCTTCGGTCGCCCGGCGAGAGATGGCAGCCCTATGGCAACCCTACGGCACCGGAAGCATTTAAATTGCGCCGTGCCTGTTAGCGGAAACCGAATGACATAACGTTGTATAATAAAGCTCGTATTATGCTATCTCTGTAGGGTACGCGAGAACTCGGCCACTGGTGGCTCGGATCGTTGCAAAGAATTCCGTGGCGGAATGCTCGCGGCGAGGGAATCGAACGCGGAAGAGTAGGAAACTCGAATTATCCACGGATTTTGTTGGCTCGAGGAGGATGGATGCGCAGGATGTACCGCCGCCTGGCGAGCGGTCTTCGCACCTTGGCAGCGTCGCGTCGGGAGGTCACGGTTTCATTCATGATAACTCGCGCACGTGGTGTCAAATTTCAATACGCTTACGGCGAGCTAACTGCTAGCGGCGCACGTACGCGGAAGTAGAATGGCCGAGCCGCGCCAGAGATCGACAACGGGCCCCCTCATTCATTCGCCGTTGGAAAACCCGCCGCGAATTTTTGTTGCTGCCGAAAACATTCGGCCGTCGCGCACCACCTCGATGTCCCATTGATGCGCCTAGTTTCCGCGAAGCAGCGGCTCTCAAACTGTCCCGGCGGCTCCTTCGATACTCCACCGAGACACCAACACGCGCGAAAGTTTCATCCGCCACGCGTACGTGGACGCTCGACTTGAATTTCTCGTTGAAACGATTCGATTTTCAATAACGCTTCGGCTCTGCCGGAAGTCTATTTCTGTTGGAATTCATAAGAAAAAGTTGGCCAAGTGACGGAACTGGAGATAGCTCATTGATTTTCGAACTGAAACCGCCGCTCGCTGTCGAACGACCCGCGAGGATGACGCTAAATTAATTATCCTCGATTCGAAGATTACTCAATGATATATTTCCGCGAATCTACGAAACCTGTGTATTATCAATTCACGCGGTAAAAAGACGTTCCAACGTGATCGACCATCAATCCTGAAAGGATTGGAATAGCTGGAGTTAACGCTTGACCTACCTAGAGCCTAAAAGTCGATTAGAAGTATCGAATCGTAACGAAAACTGTGTTTACATATTTAGATCTTTCGCCGTTTTCATTGTACGCTTGGATCGACAAATTTATCCGTTACTTTTCTACGTGAAGATGTGAACTGTTCTATGCGAAATCGGTCATTTTGACCGTGCTCGGCAGATTTAGCGTTATTCTTTAGAAGAATATTCGTATTCGCCATCGTATTCGTTTTAACAACAAAATATTTCTCCCACGCGCATTTCCAAGGTTTAATTTTTTAATATTGTGAACAACAAACGACTCCAGAAGCATCACAGAGATATAAAATACAGTAAATTCTCCCTAATCAATTCTGTCCAAGCTTGTAAACAAAACTGGACAATTTGCACCTGGTTTTTATAATTGTTGACAATCTCCGATTATAAAAACGAGCCTCGAGGCTCGAACAATCGCATCTGCTCTCCCCAAATTGTCCATTTCTGTGCGCAATTTCAGCGCGAATTCGGGAGAAACTACCGTATTCGGCTAAACGTTCTGTCGGGTTGTCTGCGATTGCGAAAGCGTGATCAGCGAAACGGACGAGGTCCGAGCTTCCCTCGAAAGGGTAGGGTGTCGGTCCAGGCGCCGCGAGTTCGGCGGAATAAGGCGGCCGGCGCGCGGTCGAGGTAGGCCAATCCCATAATCGCGAGACTCTCCGACTCTCTGAGTCAGCCGATCGTATCTTTTTTTTCGCCGGCCTGCTCCCCTACGCGAGGAATCGATGTCACGGGTGAACTATGCATCCTAGATATTGGCGGAGCTCGCTCTTGATCCGACAAATACCGCGAAGGTCGCGCGTCGGCATGCCCTCGCGGGCACCGGTTGCGCTCGTTGCGCTGGTTGCGCGACTTGCTCGCGCGTAGTCGCGTGGAATTTGACCTCCGCGAAAGTGCGTCAACTCATGGAAGCCCCCCCGGCAGTGTCTCCCGCTCATTGTTTCCTTGTTCTCGAGCGGCAGCGTCCGTCTCGCTACCCGCCGCGGCTTTCCGTTCCTTTTATCGCGTGGCTGCGCGCGGATCATATCTAATGTCGCCCGAGCGCGTTCGCCGAGACCTTCCCCGCGGGCGAGCACGCGCTCCCGCGCCTTTGTGCAAACACCGTGGAATCCGCGGCCGAAGAAGGTCTACCGAAATGTTTCGCAATCGCGGAAGCCTTCCAGGCACGCTTATCTACCACCTATGCGCGAACCAGGAGAACGCCCGCTATCTTCGCGTTTCGAGGCGACGATCCGGCGCAACGCGGCGAAACCAGCGGCGCGGTAATACGTTGGGAAATTGTCCTCGAGATCGGGGACAAATGTTCCTCGATGGTCCTCGGGCGAGCGCCGAGAGAGAGAGAGAGAGACCAGTCGCACAAGTCGGAAGGCTCGCGAGAAGGCAGATTGGACAGATTACAAGCGAGCAGATCCTTCAAGAAGACTATTTTTGATCTTCGAGATACCAGCAATGATTGCTAATATTCTAAACGCGCGTCAATGAATGCATCCAGCCATCGTCCGCGGTTCGTCCGTTAACGGTACTCGTACCTTGAAAGGCTGCGCTAAACCTCTGACCCTGTCGTAAATTAACCGAAAACAGAACAGCCTCGGGCTGTGTCTTCCATTACTTCGAAGAACACAAGCTGTCGCTGAGCTTGCACGTTTTCCTGGTCGCAGTTCATTGAGCAGTCAAGCGCGACAGATATTGCTATGATTGGCCGACGATTCGCTGTCGGCGCGTTGTTCACCGCGAATCGGATGTATGCTCGGAGAGATAGAAAAACGTGTATTACCGTCTCGAAATTGTGATCTCCGAGATCCGCGCTATCTCTAGTCTAGCGCTGGATCTACCGTGTCCTAAAATTAACGCGTGTTATTTTATAACGACGAACGGACCGTATTCGTTTAAACCTTCTGCCGCAGTTGTGCGGCAACGTATTCTCGGATTTATGCGAGTTTATTCGGTCATTTTCCGTGGAAGTGTCTGCACAGTTTCAGCAGCTTTGAAATCAAATCTGCGAAATTGCTTCGACCGGCTCGACGATGTCGCTGGTTATCTGAATACGGAAAGTCTGTACAGTCAATTCTCGCTGAACTGTTCTTCAGCTTGCAAGCAGAACTGATCAATTTTGGAAGAGGAGATACGATTATCCAAGTCTCGGGACTCGTTTTTATATCTTGCAAGCAAAACTGATCAATTTTGGAAGAGGAGATACGATTATCCAAGCCGCGGGACTCGTCTTTATATCTTGCAAGCAAAACTGATCAATTTTGGAAGAGGAGATACGATTATCCAAGCCGCGGGACTCGTCTTTATATCTTGCAAGCAAAACTGATCAATTTTGGAAGAGGAGATACGATTATCCAAGCCGCGGGACTCGTCTTTATATCTTGCAAGCAAAACTGATCAATTTTGGAAGAGGAGATACGATTATCCAAGCCTCGGGACTCGTTTTTACAGCCGTCGATTGCCAGCAACAATAAAAACGCGCCGCAATCCTCGAGTATAATCGCATCCCCTCCCCGCAAATAGCCAATTTTTGTGTGAAATCCAAGTGCGTCGATCACGGAGAATTTCCAGCACCTTTAAATCAGCCTCGCAGCCGAAAATAATAGATCGAATTTCGCGAGTCCACGACGCGCCGCGACGTCCGAGCTCGAACAGGCTGAGGCTCGTACCTCGAAACTTGACCGAAGCGCTGCTGCTCGCTCTGTAACCGTGATTCTGATACGGTGCCAAGTGAGGTCGGCTTAGATTTTCAGTGAAAGTGGCGCGACAGACGGCGATCGCCATCGAGCAGAGAGAGAGAGAGAGAGAGAGAGAGAGAGAGAGAGAGAGAGAGAGAGAGAGAGAGAGGCGGCCGGTAGTCGACGACCGGGCCGGCGAAGTTTTCGGCCGGTCGGAAAGTCGAGCGGGAAATCGAGGGCGAGGGGAACGGGCGGTGAAAAGCCGAGGGGGATGGCGCACGCGGCGAGAGAGCACGGCAACGGTAGACGGGTGGAGCGCGTTTCGTTCCGTTCGTGTTCCACCGGATACCCCGGGGGTATGTATCTATTGGCCGGCAGCCAATTACACGAGGCAGCCGATAAATCACGGATCCCTGACCCAGTGCAGTTTTATATTTACTGGCGACGCTGGTGTGCACGAAAGAACGGGATAGAGAAAGAGGGTGTGTGTCGGGAGAGGCGGACGAGAAGAACGGCCGGGCGCGGATCGGGGGAGAAAGAGAGAAACGGGGGACAGGGGGAGGAGGAGGAGGTGGACAGGCGCGTGTGCTGGTGCCACTCGCCGCCGCGATGCACTCGTCCTCCGTCTCTCTCTCTCTCTCTCTCTCTCTCTCTCTCTCTCTTTCTAGCGCGCTCTCTCTCTCTCGCTCTTTTCATCTTTCTCTCTTTCTGGCGCGCTTTCGTCCGTGCTCGTCGCACCTTGGTCGAGTGTAGGGCTCTCGTGCGCGGCGATGCTCTCTCGCGCGACATCGTGTGGAAAGCCGCTGCCGAGAGAGAAACGGAGAAAGAGAGAGAGAGAGTGAGAGAGAGAGAGAAGGAGAGAGGAACGGAGAGCGTGGAAGAGGGAAGAGAGAACGCGGCTCGGAGGGAGAGGGACCGAGAGAAATGGCGAGGGCTTCTTTCGAAGGGGGTGGAGAGGGGCTCGCGCCGTGGAATTGTATGGGTGAGTGGGGTGGGGTGTAGCGGCGTATACGTACGTAATGCAGCACTTGTTGCGCCCGGGCGTCGACCTCGGACTCAACCCGAGGCTCCGCGCCGGACTGACCGTCTTCTAGACCGAAAATTTTGCACGGTGCATCGCGGTCGCAGCCTACTCATCGTAACCTCGGCGAGGTCCTTCGGCTTCCGCTCGCCGCGGCTCGCGCGACAGCTCGTTCCTCTCTC